CATGTGCCTAAAGATTTCAGTCATGTGCCTAAAGATTTCAGTCATGTGCCTAAAGATTTCAGTCATGTACCTAAAGATTTCAGTCATGTACCTAAAGATTTCAGTCATGTACCTAAAGATTTCAGTCATGTACCTAAAGATTTCAGTCATGTACCTAAAGATTTCAGTCATGTGCCTAAAGATTTCAGTCATGTGCCTAAAGATTTCAGTCATGTGCCTAAAGATTTCAGTCATGTACCTAAAGATTTCAGTCATGTACCTAAAGATTTCAGTCATGCACCTAAAGATTTCAGTCATGCACCTAAAGATTTCAGTCATGCACCTAAAGATTTCAGTCATGCACCTAAAGATTTCAGTCATGCACCTAAAGATTTCAGTCATGCACCTAAAGATTTCAGTCATGCACCTAAAGATTTCAGTCATGTACCTAAAGATTTCAGCCATGTACCTAAAGATTTCAGTCATGCACCTAAAGATTTCAGTCATGCACCTAAAGATTTCAGTCATGCACCTAAAGATTTCAGTCATGCACCTAAAGATTTCAGTCATGCACCTAAAGATTTCAGTCATGTACCTAAAGATTTCAGTCATGTACCTAAAGATTTCAGTCATGTACCTAAAGATTTCAGTCATGTACCTAAAGATTTCAGTCATGTACCTAAAGATTTCAGTCATGTACCTAAAGATTTCAGTCATGTATCTAAAGATTTCAGTCATGTATCTAAAGATTTCAGTCATGTATCTAAATCGGCACGAGCAGATAATTTTGTAACGAATTCCGGTTCAAGGATATCGGGTGTCACAGTAATGAGGTCGTGATGGGGGTGGTTGATCAAGTAGTGGTGGTACTTAGGGTACGGGTAGAGAAGACTTTGATGTCATAATGAATTTGCTTTCATGTATAGATGGGTGAACAAGTCGACACCACCGTTGTACATAGTACTCTGTCTTGTATACTTGTATAATGGACAGTTTTTTTTTATACATTTCGAGGGGGGTGGGGGCACTGCTTCTCGAATCGTCCAAGCGTCCAATCCTCCTCCCCCCCCCCTCCCCCCGAAAGAAATAGAAAATACATATAATGTATATAGAAAATATGTACTTTAATCAGTGTCCGACTACTACCACCCCCCTTTCCCCTGAGAAAAATGTCTGAAAGAAACGCTGATAAAATTATAAAAGACCTACGTATACGATCCTTAAGTACATTTTTTTTTCTATTTTACTAAAGAAAACTATTTATTTTTTCACACTAATCGATCAATGCATCTTGATAAACCAATCCCCAAACCATAAAATAATTAGCATGTAGATGGTATCTAGAATAGCTGTAATTAAATGTTGGGATGAACATCTGGGATTAGAATATGAATTTACGGCAGGCAATAATGTTGGGTTTCAGATGTACGGGTCTCGTGATAGTAACGTTACCGGCAAACGATAACATGACATTTGGCAGACAACACATTTTGTATTTATTTAACAACAACCATGGCTCAATCCCTTTTAGTACCCTAGGCTGCTAACCCGTAAGTCTCGAGTTCAAATCCGGGTCCTAGTTAGTAGAACGTTCTTGAGTCCACCCAGCTCTAATGGATACCTAACTCGTGTTAGGAAAGGTAAAGGCGGGTGGGAATAGTGCTGACCACGCCTTCCCTTCATCTGCCGAGGTCAAGAAACATTAACTCTTCTTCATCTGCCTTATGGATCGCTAGGTCTAAAGATGTTTCTTTACTTTTTACTTTACCCTATAATGGATAAGTTCACTTTTAAATTCTCAAGGTCATTTACTTTTTTTTTAAAGGTTACTTTTTAAAATGCGTGTCTATAAACCAAACCAATATAGTGTCCTAATGGTCTTTGTCAGACATGAAGTACAAACTGCACAAAGTGGGTACGGCTAATCAACAAGCTCCTCTTCAACAACAGGACAAAAAAAAAACTTCTTTTACAATTTGCGTGGGCAGATTTCTACCAGTAGAATCTGTTTCTCTGGTTGCAATTTTTTTTTCTTCAGTGTCACCCTATTGAAATAGATCAGCGAGTTATTTTCGTAACTTACTTCAGCCGTGCAGCGAGCTTGTCCACTGAATAATACAATGTTGAAAACAGTCTCGTACGTCGGCGTACCATAGGGACACCATTTTTTTTTCTTTCCCCCCACCGCGTGAAAAGCGGTGAAAAGATTCAGCCGGTCGCGTGCCCGCGTCTCAACAATGGGGGGCCAACCGGAGGGCGAACGATGGTATGTCGACACAGCCGAGAAGAAAATTTTCCCACGTTCAGTTTTTGCTTTGTCGCGAGACTGCACGAGCGGGTGGTGTAAGGTGGGGGGAAAGGGGGAAGCTAGAAGGGGAGAGAACTATAAAATATTTTTTTTTTTTTTAAAAAGGTTCAGCGCGAGGTGGGGAGATGAACGTTTCGGCCGGTCCATTATAAAAAATTAGGGAGAGCGGGTGGGTGGGTGGAGCCTATTCATACACTGCCACGATCCGGAGTAATAACAGGTGGTTAGGAGAATAGGGGGGAATGCGCTGGCGGTGGTGGGAACGCGACCCTAAAGATGGACAGACCGCAGATCGGAGTGTGGGAAAACTGGTTGCTGCCATTGTTGTGGGGCCGGTGAACGTCGCTCAAAAGGTAAAGCCGGTGAGAAAACGGAGGAGAAATTAGTTGAGGTGGGGGGGGGGGGGGGGGGGTCTGGGTAAGGTTGGGCAGGGGGGTGGATGACTTAATGAGAGAGTTTTGAATGTGGTTGAATAGATTAAAATCCGAGGCCCCCGTTCTGTTTGGAGTTTGTTTACATTTTGACTAGGCTATTGAAATCGCATTCCTTTTATATAATAGGTAGGTAGGTATGACTCCAATCCAAAATGGCTAACTCTTTTAAAAAATATATGTGTAGGCCCTACGTCTGTGTTGATGTCTTTTTTTTCTTTTTGCTAGTGGTCGCGAAGGAAAATTCAGAAGTATAGTAATCATCGGCAATATTTCGGATTGAAGTATTTTTTTTTAACTCAACAACATTCCAAAACTTTTTATTTTCACTTTTATTTACTCGTTTGTTCGTCGCGGAGCAGAGTCGTGCTTAGACTGACCACTGGCCTCAAGAATGTTGACCACTTAACGCTGACCATGTCAACAGATGGTGTCACACTCGGCTCGAGGACAAGACACTTTCCCAGGCTCGGTTTTTGGGATCGCTCCCATTAAATCATTAAACTCCTCGAAAAAAAAAACATGAAATATGAGCGAGAGAAAAGTATGGTGCTACGTTTGTACCATATTTTTTATAATTAATTTTTTTTTTCAGCAGTAAATAAAATAGACTTGCTGTTTATCACAGAATTGTTAGTTGTAAAGACTAAAGCAAAACTATTTTATATGTTAACTTAGTGCTGGAAATGAATGTGTTTATTTTCTATTGACTGAATAGTCACTCAGAATTAATCGCAGTGTTTAAGTAAATAATGTTGGTAGTAAAATAAACGTATGAGGATATTGTGTCATCATTTAGGGCCTGCCACCCCCCCCTCACCCCTCTCTCTTGTCACCATTATTGCACCACCAGTTGAACTGAGAAGAAAATGCATGTTATTGTTGAGGGTGAAGATGGGTTACAAATTAGGTTTCAAGAATGCGACTCTTTTTCTTTTTTTATTGCGTCAAAAAATACTTTAAAGCAGTAAAAATGTAAGTACAACTACATCAGAGCTTAGGCGACACGCTTGGAGATTACAATTTACAAGGTCTAATTGCTGTAAATAAAATGAGACTAATTACTGAACAATTAATGAGCACCTAATTTAGCCAGGATAGATTCATACCCCCAAAGCATGAATCCCAACCACCGTGCTATCAAGCTGCTTAAATTCGTTGACATAACACATCGCATACGTTCTCATCTGACACCACCCATACGTTTACATAAGCCTCACCCACCCCCAACAGTACCTACATAGAAATTAGCCCCCCAACCCTAACAATGACCACAGCGGTGAACCGTAGATCCAGTTTGTCAACTGTCGGAATGCCTTATCTGCGGTCTCTGTTTACACAACAATCAGAATATTACAGTGGGGGCCGAGGAGGCGTGGTTTTCCCACAGTGCGCAGACTGTCACTTAATCCTTCTCGCGGCTCCTATACAATGGACATCTATTTTTTTAGGTTCTCCTCTGCTTTTGCGGTGAAATGTTCCACCTAAATATTGACGCAACTGATGCGTTTTAACACATTTATCATAATGTTTACGAAAATATAAGGGTAAAAAAAAATACTCGTATAAGCATACGTTTTTTAAACTACTTATTTAAACGAAATCGTGTTGGTGGTTTAAAATAAGCATATAAGTAGGTCTATATCTTATCTTAGCTTGTCATATGTCTTACGATTTTAAGAAACTTCAAGCACAATACTGACGCTAGGCTATAAAATAAAATAGTTAAGCTTAAATTCAAATCAACACAGAATTTCAAAACCAATAGTCTCGTTTTGTTGCCCCGTGGGTATTTAATTTTTGTATTTACAACATTTTTTTTTAAATTGTTTCTTAACGTATACCTTAATATGCGTTGGATACAACTGTTAAACAGATGTAAAACATAACGTGTTAGTTTTATCTTTGTTTTAACTAATTATTTCAGTCCCCAGCAGACGACCCCTCAACAAGTGGTTTTTGTCTCCCCCCTCTTAAAATTTCTCACGCTCAAATTCCCGTACACGCAGCCAGCCACCTACCGAACTGTAATCTAACCGGCACGTGCGACTATTTTTTTTCTATTTATCCCGCCCGAGCCGATGACTCGAGAGCTTGACATGAGAGTATCCGGCCATTCCGGCCACCGCACGAGAACATCTGGCGTTCAGCCAATCGGATTTGAGCTGTCGCATGCCGCGCACGATCCCGCCCGGCGATTGGCTGGTGGTTAAGAAGTCCACAAATAGATCTACCGTGGGAAAGGGTGAAGTTTCGACTTCACACCGCGCTGTGTTGGTATGTGTCAGACGGGGCATAAAGAGCCCCCCGCTCCCTCCCCCCTCCCCTGGCTTGATGACGGGGATCAGCCCTGAGACAGAACGTGCGCTGGAGGACGCGAATAAAACCCGCACCGCTCTATCGGAATTCGTCATTCGGTCTCCGTCATCTGAACAGCATCTTCGGATATCTGTGCTCAGACTAGTGCCTGCTAGGCTAGCGATACCTTCTATTTCTTGATACCATCTGTTGATTTTCTCTTTGGATATGACTATGGCAAACACGACTATGTCGTCGCCTTCTAGAGCTGGAGTTTCGGCAAGAAAAGTAAGTTGAAATTTATAATTATAATTCATTAAATTTTAATTAATCAATTTTTTTTGTTTACTCTTTAATTTTTGTTATGATAATTAAATATAAACATTAAATATAGCTGATTAAATTTCTAGTTTATAGAATTAATTTTTCGTTGTATTTTGTCGTTAATTAATTCATTACTAGCCCTAATTTAATTAGATTATTTAATTAACTTTTGTTTGTTTTCTCCAGACAAATAAACCTTTAATGGAAAAAAGAAGACGAGCTCGTATCAACGACAGCCTCTCACAGCTCAAATCTCTTGTCATTCAAAGCAGCAAAAAAGATGTAAGTACACCCTACCGTATTTACAGAAATAAACGCACTTGTTTGTTGTTATTGTACAACAGTATAACTCTTCAACTAACAATACATTAGATATTCATCAATACTTTCATAACAACTTAAGATTATAAACACAAGTTTAAATTAACATAAAGCTTAATAAATGTTGTCTTATTTCTCCAGAGCTCACAATTCAACAAACTGGAAAAAGCTGACATTTTGGAGCTGACGGTCAAATACCTCCGCAACCTCCAAAGCCAGCAACAACAACAGCAGCAGATGACCCCAGCTGGCAGCGACCCCTCCCTAGCCGGCAAATACCAGGCAGGGTTCATGGAGTGCGCCGCTGAGGTCATGAGATACATCGGTCAGTCCCAAGGGTTCACTGAGGACATCAAGACCAGGGTCATAGGTCACTTGTCCAGCTGCGTCCAGCAGGCCACTAAGTCATCTTTCACTAAGTCAATGCCCAGTGCTCCTGTGCCCGGGCACCAAAGTGCCCAGCTGCCCAATGGACAAATTGTACAGATTGTGAACGGCTCCTACCATCAAATCAAAGCCCACCAGTTGGCTGCTTCATCACAAGTACAGATCGTACCATCACCATCCAATCTACCATCCTCCACCTCATCCCACGCCCCAGCCTCCAGCAACCAGCCCACAGACTCCTCCCCCTACATCAGATACACCCAGCCCCTCCACATCCAAATCCCACCAGTCCTCTCCCCTCCAGTCCAGCAACAGAAGCTCGCCCTACCCCTACAGGCGCCCAAAGACATCACCCCCCAGCCCATCAACCATCGCCTCCCCACCCCCCAGCAGGAAAAGATCGTATCCTCCTCCTCCCCCTCCCCACTCCGAGACAGCTCCGTCTCCCCCCTCCCCCTCAGACTCCACAAGCAACACGTCTACTACCAGCACGAAGAAGACTTCCTCCCGAGGTCAAGGTCATACTCCATGACCTCCTCCTCATCAGAGTCGGAAATGACGTCACCACTCAACCTCTCCCAGTCCCCCCAGTACTACGACTCGCGTAAAGAAAACTGCTACTCCTCCAACTACTCCAGCTCCTCCCGTGAACACCGGGTCCCCTCCGGCTACGCCCACGACCAAATCTCCCCCAGCCAGTACCTGATGAAAGACAGCGTCTTCTCCTCCCACTTCCCATCCAACTACACCTCCGTCATCGTCGACGGCCGCAAGTCTCACGACAGCGCCTCTCTCAAGTACATGGTCATGGAGGACGACAGGCACTACATCCGCCACGAGGGCTCTACTTCACCTGCCTCATCCCTAGGGGAGGAGCGTCTCTGGCGCCCATGGTAAAGGGGAAAAAAAAACTTGAAATAAACAATTTTATCAACCTGTGATCAGCTATCAACCTTGTGTGACAGAATATCAACTTTACAACTTGACAATTACAAACTAAATCAAGAACTCATTGGATTTATCTGCAACTTTTATCATCCATTACAAAACGATCATGTGACTTCCTGTTGCTGACTTCCATCTTTACATTCTAGTTATATGTAAATCAAATACATTCTGCTAATTTTAGTTCATTTTTTTTTTACAAATTAGTAATTCCATGTCAAAGATTATTCCTAGTGATGTTTTGAATTATTGAAAACACGAACACTTGTCACATTCCAAAATAACCCATAAAATGACCATTCAAATTTTTTTAAATAGTGCCTTGTACGTTATAAATACTTTGACAACTTTGTTGCAAATATTTTTTGTTGACACTTTGATATTTTTAGAGTCGATGTTGAGCTTTAATGCTTTGTTGTATTGACATTGAGATTTGTGATATCATCTTCATTATCGTTTCATCATTTTTATTACCTTTTTGCTACACGTGATTTGATTGGACCAAATAATGTACTACTCCCTACCATTGGAGGGTTTTACAATGCTTTAATGATATGAGAACGTTTTTTAATACAATATGAATATAAACTTTAAACAACTTTGTTTGTTTCATTTGGTTGCTGTATTACGTGTGTGTAGTGATGGTCTGGTAATGTTTGTATGTAATGTTTGTATGTAATGTTTGTATGTTTGAATCAGTTTATTCTGTTTGTGATTGGTCTGTCTGCTAATCTGTATACACCGAGGTCTGGGTCGAATCAACATAAGTACAGTCATATGACTACTGAGTGGAATGTTCTAGAAGGTTACTGGTGTAGCTGAAAGGTCATTACAGTAAGCATCTTAATCTCCAGGTGTAAGATTGGGCCACTTGGGTGAAAACAGACAGGTGACATAACACTGGTGACACTACTGCAAGGTGACACAAATGAATTGGTGACAACACGAAAATGTGTGAGCTCTTGGGGTGACACAACACATTTATAGTGCAGAAGTCCATCTGGTGACATAAAACATTGATATATGAGATGACTTTTGGTGGCACAATATTTTGATATATAATGCCTTTTGGTGGCACAATACTCTGATAGAACTAGCCCTCTTTAATCATTCACCGACTCTGACCTTGAATATCGATGGGTTTTATTCAACTAAACTTAAAGTAGTGCAAAACTCGCCACCAGATCTACTACTACGATTGAAACTAGATCTAGATCTGCAACTACGGAAAAAAAATATTTAAAAGCAGTTCAACTTTTTGAAGTTGAACTCAATGTTTACACTAGCGACATGTCGGTCTATTCTATACACGTCAAGGGGGGGGGGGGAGGATTAGCAGCAAGTTAGACTACATGTTGCGTTGAGAAAA